ATAAATTAACTGCATTAGACTATCGCAATTCAATATCCTTAGCCTTCTAAAGATTATTTGTTAATTCGAATTCAGATTAATTAACATATTATTACTTATTATTTTTAATTATTTCCGACAATTTTTTACGTAATAAATAATAATAAGTAAAGATGCAAAATCCAATCCGAACAACAAATTATTGAGTTTAAAATTTATTCTCCAGATTACATGCAACGGTTGGTCATTTTCGGCTAGCTGTTTTGTAGCCGTTAGCTGCATCTCGCGATCTAGTACTCCAAATTGGATAATTTTAGTACCATTAGAATCGTCTTATTGAGACGAAAATGTATTTATGGCATTATGGCATTACGGCATTTTGCCGTAATTCTGTAATTACCCCGGCAACCATAGTTATACAAATAAAAAAAGAAATGAATTATTATTACTCTTAAGAACTAGCGAGCCTGAAATTGTTGAAGAGAAAATAACTGCAAGGACTGCAGCTAAGGTTAAAAAGAGTTTAAAGTTCATTTTGAAGTTGAGATTTTTTTTTTTTTTTATTAAATTGACAGTAACTTTGCAGTAACCTTATCGCTCTTTTATATAGTTGATACCGTAATTAATTTTTAGAATAAATGCCTAAATTGCCCATCTTAATAAAAAAAGTAATTACGGCATTTAGTAGTGATGGGCATGCGCGGGATTTGCGCGGGATCACAGCGCGGATCACGCGTGGGATTTTTAATATGATCTCTAATTCAGGCTAGCCTGCCCGCATTAACATAATTTTTAAGAAACCCACGATGCAATTCTATCCTGCGCACACGCGCGTAACCGGCATCCCGCGCGGGATATTTGGAAAACCGTGATTTGCTCGGATGTTCTATAGAATAGTACCCGTATAAGAGTCACCCAGGTAATCCGTATAAGGTCTGTTAACCGGATCAACCTACTGCTACCCGGGTGACTCGGATTAATTAGTGAAAATAAACATTCATCAGATTGGCTGGTTGATTGTATGAAGAAACAGTTAAACAATTTTAACAAACTCAGCTTCGAAAAGCACTGTATAAATCAATTATTTTAAAATGTAATAATCATTAGGTCATTTCTCCATGCATTGCTAAGCTAATTAAATTAGTATTCAGGAGTTCCTGAAGCAAATTCTGGCCATAATCCACAATTAATCTCAATTGCAAGTTTGATATTAGAATCACTCTATCAAAGGCCTTTGGTTGACATCTCAGCTATCATAACACCAAAGCTATAAATATCAACTGTTTGTGTAAATTCATATAACTTCTGGAGAAACATAGGACATGACACCATAAATATCACCTTCTGAAACATTTTCATTTCTTTCTAGGTAATCCTAGATCTGCAATATAAGATTAGTTAGCTTTGCATAATTATGAATATTAGATAATTCATATTAATATGAAATATCTTTAAACATTTTCAGTTTATCCTTCCAAGTAAGTCTCTAAATTTTCTTAAATATTTCTAAATGCTTCCATTAACAGTATACTAAAACTCTATTAATTATTCATTTGTTTTTGTATCTTAAGTAATTCTATATATTGTGAGTTACTATGCATATTATGTGATTAATAAATTCTTTCTAAAAATTAAAATTATTTTTCTTAGAACTGGTTAGAGTTTTGAATGCAATAGTATTGAATTTTTCATACACTCTTGTATAATTATTTTTGCAATTATTATACAGAACCAAATTCTTTTTTGCAAATTTCTGTAATATTAGATAATCTATTCAATAGAATCTACTCAATTGCATGCTTATATTTAAAAGTTTTAAGTTAAAATTCTCTGTAAATTTATAACTATCATAGATTTAGAATCTACCTTTAAAATTTTACAAAACTAGCTAATACAAAAATTAAAAATGTAAAAGATCTTTATTAGACAAAAATGCATTTGCTATTTATAATCTTAGTAATTACTATCTATGAATAACTAAGTCAATAGATCTATTGGATTACTTAGATTATTTAATATAATCTAGTTTGATGACCTGATAATAATATTTAAAACAAATAAATAACTCAGAGCTTAAATTTTAAACTAGGTACAATTTCTAGAATAGATAAGCAAACTCTGTTAAACTTTGCTAAATATATTAAAAATTAATGATTATTAATTATTAGTGAAGTTTATTTCTTATATTGATTATCTATTCTATCTGAAATTATTATCAAAATTTTTTAAATTCTTTTCATCAAAATACATTATATAGTATATTTATTTTGAAGGGTTTTACATAAAAAAATTAATAATATTAAAATATTTGCTGAAAATATTTTTTTCAAAAATAATTTAAATATATATATATATAATTATAGTACTGAATAATAGTTTTACTATAATATTATTATTACTATTGTAACTTAGTTTGCCTAAACAATTAATATTATTTACTTATTTTAGATATTATATAGAATATATGAGCAATATATAATAAGATTTGTTAATAATTAGTAATCATTAATTTTTAATATATTCAGCAGAGTTTACTTATCTATTCTATATAATATCTTTTATTTTATTTTCTTATTTGTCTATTAATATTGTAAGCTCTGAATTCTGAATTCAAACTAGGCTAACAACATAATATGATTACAAATTATATGAATAAATTACATAAATTGCATATATCATATAGATATTATATATAATGTATAAGCTATTATAAATAAGAAAAGGACTATGACTGAGTTACTCAACTATACAAAAACTTACATAACTAAAGATAAGTAACCTTATAAAAGAGATATATTAGATTATATTAAAGGATATTAAGGCTTAGATTATTTGGGTTACAATTATTTAGAATATTCAAGTTATGTAAGCAAAAGATTAAATAAACAATAAATTATAGTTTAGAGTTTAAGAATTATATTAATAAAGCAGTATTAATATAATAATATGAGTAATTTTTTAAATAAATTTAGGACTTTATTATTTTATAAAGCAAATGAGATTTGATTTTTTCAAAACAATTATATTTATAATAAATTTTAACTATGAATTGTTTAATAAAAAAATCTCACTTTTATATTTTTTTTTATCTAATTTAATTTTTTTTTTTTTTTTTTTTTTATTTATTTTTTAACAAGCTGTTCGCAGATTTTTATTAAGTATTATTTTTAAGTTACATTTGTTGGTAAGGATCAATTAGCTACATGTACAACTTTAGTTGTTGTCTATTTACAGGTTCTGCTATATAGGTTACCTACTAATTACTATACTTAGTATTTCCTGTAGATACTCTATTTAAACCTTCTGGTGTCATAGTGAAATTCTATTTTTAACCTAATATTTATATATATCTACACTAATCTTGTGCTGCCTCATTTGAGAACCACTCAGACCAACTTGTGCCTCAAATTATCTTCATAGGACTGGACTCTATTACAAGGTACTCACTTATATTCTATTCTGGTAAGGGCTTGTGGATGACCCTAACTATGCTGTGCTATATCCTAATTAAGCTAGCATATACCTTTATTGGTGTTCATTAGGGTATTTGGCACGGCTAAAAAATCTTCCATGCTATGTGGCATGCTATTTAACAAAGTTCGTGCCAGGATGCCACCCTAGCATGCCATTAATCTATGTGACAAAAATACTTAAGAATGATTAGTCAATTCTCCTATACTATTGATACTATATAGTATATATATATAATTAAAAATTTATTCTTAAATGATTTTTATATTTTGGGAGATGTAGATATAGTTAAAATAATATGCAATGAATTTATCAGCTTGCTTGCTCTATTTTATTAATTGGCTTAATTAATTTGTGGCAAATTTGCCTGCAAATTTTGAAACTATTTGCGAAGAGCCTTTAATCCAATAACACTTTTAATTATTTCTAACAATACCTCACCTTTATTTTTCTTTTAGCATAATGAAATTACCAGGCATGTCATATTAAAATTAATAATCAATATAAAGTTCTAACATCCGTAACCCGATTAGATCATTTTAACATGACACTTTAACGGGAATAATATATATGATTATTGGATAAAATTTTGCAGGCAATTTGTCTGCATTAGTAAATCACTTAAGAGATGATAATTAAGTATATGAGCTGCATCAAGTCAATAACATCTCTATAAATCTGCGCATTTAAGTATAAATAAAGAAACAAGCACAATTATATATTTTTAAAATAAAATCTTTGCATATAGAATCCCTATACCCAAATCGATTTATTATATTTTTAATGTTTTTTACATTTTGCACACTAATTATAAATGAATAAATAAATTCGTGAATACATGCTTAAACTATACCTTGACAAATATGTATTTACTATTCGCATTTCAGCTGCGAACTGAAGCTAATTATACTCAAGAAATTAAGCCTTAACTTTAAGCAATATTCGAGGCTACAGATCCAGCTCGGACCAGACCAACTTCTAACTATGGTTTCAAATTGAGCCATTTCATGATATAAAAATTAAATACCATCTTATCTAAGCTATAATTCAAGGTTACAAATCAGCCTAAACCTAATTAACTTCAAATCCTGACTAGAACTGGCTTTAAAATTAAGCCATTAGAATATTCCATGGTATGGGTTAAAAAAATTAATTATACTACGCATGAATAATACAAGTAAAATAAAATGGTTAAAGACATATTTAACTATTTGGGCTAAATTTCCGTTATAATATCAGAGCCTCAAAGATTCAGATCATGAGTTAAAATAGATGGAAAGTGACGGAATTTTTTAAATAGCATGTCTAAAAAATATATAAACCATCTCAAAAGATTAATAAAAATGAATTATTATCGAGTTAAAATTACTTGATAAGATTCTCTACCTTAATATCGTTCAAGAACTCAATATTATAAATAAAAATTGGGTTAATTAACCATGCAAATTTCAAAAAATACCCAAATTGTCCAAGTTAAATTCTCTTTTTTCTGCCATTAACCTATAATAAAGAATAAATTACCTATACACGAAAGAATCTAGACCTATATTATGCAGTCATACTTCAGTACCGAAACAGGTGAACTCATGGTTGACCTTACAGGTGAAACTACTCAATTCCCACCTGGTTTTATTCTTCCTGACATGAAGCTTCATGATTACCGCTGGACAGGGTTTTGGCGTTCTATAGAAAAAGGAACGGGCAATAGATATACTGCTAAATATATTTATTGCAACCTTGAACTACCTAGCAGACCTGAAAAACTTCATACTCACGTTCTCACATGTGATAGTTGGCCCATTACTGAAAAAAATCTTATCTTAAAGAAGTAACAAATTCTATTCCTAATTCTCGTAAAAAAATCAAAAAGAACTTAATTTCTGATTAAGAATCACTTATGTATGTAATAGTTTTTTTTTCTTTCTTTTTTTTTTTTTTTTACTAAAACTAATAGAAGCTTTTGTAGCGACACTGATGGTTCGTCCTCTTCAGCAGTAAAATGTCAAGAAAGTTTAGTAAATTGGTATATCAAACTGATTTCACAAGATAAGTAAGCTAAAATAAATAAAAAATTGCTTGATGCTATTATCTATGGTAATCTTTCTTTTAGGGTTATTGAAAATCCCTATTTCCTCGAATTTCTTAATGAGTTGGAACTGAATTATAATTCTCCTTCTGCTAATATATTGCGTGGGAAAGTTCTTAATAATTCGTTTTCAACCTATCTAAACAAAAAATTAGAAGTAATGGAATCTCAAGCCGCTATTACTATTGCTTTAGACAGGTGGCAAGATATATCAAGAAATTCTATATATGGTTTTATTGCTTTAAAGGAGAATAAAGAACATGTTTTAGATATTGTTGATTTATCTGCTAACTGACATACAGCAACTTTTCTTAAAGAGCAGCTTGAAAAAATACTTAACTCAAGCTCTATTTCTCTTAATTCTGCGATTATTGCATACGTAACTGATAATCCCCACGTCATGACTCGAATGAAAAATATCCTTAAAGAAGATCATCCAAATATCATCTCTATCCGTTGTTGTCTCCATGCCTTTAACCTACTTGCAAAAGATATTTCTGCCTTTCCACTCTTACTTAAAGTTATTAAAGATAACCAAAAACTTGTTAATTTTTTTACATCATCTTATATTTGGCTCCGTATCTTACAAGAATAGCAAAAGAAAGAAGGTCTGCGTCATTCACTCACAACATTTTGTGAGACTAGATGGTACTCTCTTGCAAAAGTTTGCTTGGGTGTTAAAGCCTTTGAAAATGGATTTAATAAATGTATTGATCTTAGTAAAACCAGTAATTATCCAGCAATAAGAATAGAAATTCAAAACATAATTACCAACTGCCATCACTTTGCAAACAACGACACTTTACTAAAAGTGCTTATTCCCATCATCGATGCTATCGGTCGCCTTGAGTCGAGAGATGCCACTCTAGCAGACATCTTTAAAAAACTATTAAGCATTCATTGCATTATTTCTACAGAAAATGTTTCGGTTGAAGGGTTCAAAAACCATGCCTTGGCAGCTCTTGATAAATGGACACGTGAATTCTCAGATGGCATTTATTTTGTTTCATTTTTTTTATCACCTAGTTATAAACAAATAGCAATGTCAGGACAAATGTTAGGCAATTTAATCGTTAGGGCATCTTTGGAGTTGGCAAAAGCCTGGGGTTTTGACAAAAAAGAAACAACACTTTTGTTTAAAGAACTTATCAGTTATAAGAATGGTGACTTTCCTTTTGACAATCAATATTCCGAAAATATTAATCCCAGAATTTTCTGAACTAAGTTTACAGGAGGTTCCCCACTTATTTGGTGTTTTGCCATGAAGGTATTTGCAATTGTTCCACATTCAGTGTCCGTTGAATGTTTGTTTTCTAGTTTGGAATTAGTCAAGACAAAATTACGAAACAGGATATCTCTTGCTTTAATGGGAATGCTCAAGATACTTTGCCATGATCTTCAACAGAGACTACCTAAAATGCCAAAAAAATCCCCAAAAGCAAATAATCAGAATATATTTGAAGATTCTATAAATAGCGAAAATGCCAACATTAACCTCTTTGAGGAAGAATTTAATGAAGAATTTTCACAAATTAACATTGAGGCAACGAACCTTGAAATAGAAAATGAACTAGCAATAGAACAATTTTTTAATATTGGAATGCTTGATCGAAATCAAGAGAATATAATTGAAGACTATTCAGTTGTTAATTCTCAACGACCTACCAATAGTACTAATGAAGATTGGTCATTGATGATATCTTCTTTCAATATAATACTAGTTAGAATAGATTTATAGAAATGTAATTTTTTTTATTTAGGTATATTAGGCCAGGCCAAGTTAATTTTTTGGTTCTCATAACATAAAATTTTTGAAAATGACCCAGCAACCTGTCTTTTAATTTTATTTTCAAAAAATTTTATATATAAAAAACATATAAAATTTTTTAGAAATTTTTTAGAAAAACCCACCCGAATAGTAAATATACTTAAAAAAATTTTTTTTAAAGGTTTGTAAATTTGACCCAGCTGGGTTACGAAAACCAATTTATTAAGTTAGTATGGCCTTACATTACCCTGATAAAAATTAATAAAAATTTTTATAATAGTCTCAAGTTCGTATTCTAAAGTAAACTGTTAGAATTCAAATTTAAAAAATAAAAAAAAGTTTAGTAACGACTTCATAAAAATCTGTAATCTACGAAGTATAAGAAAGAATAAACGTATCTAAAGTATAAAAGTAATAAATCAATAAACTTTTGTAAGTGATTCAAGTATTTATTAGTAAGAGTTAAAATGTAAATCGTAGTCAGGCTTTTAATGATTATATAACCTGAATGAAAACCAGAATCACCGACTAGAACTAGTTATATATTGTGAGGCTTAGATCCAAGAACCTGATCTTTTTTCTCACTAATACTAATAGAGAGAGAAGGTTGGAACAGTTAAAATGGTTAAAACACATTTTTCGAAATTTACAATTTGATTAGTTGATTATCATGTGAATTGGTTCTTCTTATATAAATGGCATACCTATAGACGGTTTAGGTTTTGGGCATGCTATTGGTATGCCATTATTGGCATGCCATGGTGGCATGCCAGTGGCTTTTATGCCACTCACCCTAGTGTTCATACAAGCCTAGTTCCTTCCATAGCTCTCTACCAGATTAGTCTAGTTCTTTTGAATGTTCTATAAGATAAATTCTCTCAAATCTAGTTAGCTGCCAAGCCAGGTTGGTATTGTTATTCATATAATATTACATCATACTTAACTTTTCCGTTATATTATAGACTTACTTGTACCTACTCGGTCTGTATTCTTCATTCCTAGACTTCTTCCAGATCAAGCGTCAAGCTAGTGTGACCATTGAAATCTGTACTATATTACCTAACTTGGGATTTTTACTATGCAGGACTGCTCGTAGATTCTATCAAGATTTATTCATATAATATTATATCAGATCTGACTTTTCTATTACACTTCCAATACTCAATTGATATTAGTATAACACAATTTATAGGGTTACAACTTCAGAAATAGATAGAGTTAACTGTAAGTTAGATACAAAGGTCTGAGTAATTATTCAAATTTATTGACAGTGGGATTTGAACCCCAGATCTCTTACATGGCGGTCTGACAACCTAATTACTACACTAAGATCACCAGATACAATTTAATTTTTTTAATTTAATTGTTTAAAATATTATAATTATTAAATCTTTTTTACTATTAAATTTTCTTTTTTTAATGTAATTAAGAAATTAATTTAATTAATTACTAGAATATCTATATTAGAAAAGAATTATTATAGATATAATAATATATTAGTTATAGCTTATTCTAAGTTATATTATTAGATCTCACAATATAATTTGTTAAATTATTTCTAATTATTTCTATTTGTATTTTAAATTATAATAACTAAAATAATTAAAACTTAACTTATAAAATAACAAGTTTATTTGTAATATATATAACTTTAGATTTGAAATATATTATTATAAAACTATAGATTTTTAGTATAGTACTATAACAATAATATAATATTAATAATCTGTTATAAAGTAATATCTAAAAAGCAAATATAATTTTTTTATTTAACAGAAAATAAATTTAATAAATATAATAGAGTTTTTGTTTATTATAAGAAAAGAGAAAAAATTAATTACTATCTAAAAGGTATTAGATATTAATTAAATTTAAATTATTTAATTAAACTTATTTTCTAGTATAAAAGAAAATCTTAGATATTAATATCTTTTATTAAATATTATATAAATATTAGCAAAGTATTATATAAATATCTATACAAGTCTTATTTAATATTTTTTATTTTTAAAGGTAGTTTACTTTACTAGAATATTTTATTAATTTGAATACAAGATTATATATAAATAATTACTTGCTATTGTAATTATATAAAGAGTATATAATTAGTTACATATATAATTTTAGTTATTATTTATTTAAACAGTATATTACATAGATATTAAATTATTTGAGTAGCTCTATACAAGCTACTATACTTGTAACTTATTTGTGAATTATCTATTTAAATATTCTATTTAACAAACTTGTTACAATTATAAACTAATTTTACTAAAATATCTAATTGCTTAAACTAGCTAGCTTATTACAGATTATCTATAAACTAGTTTAGATCTTTTTGAATTATATTATATTTAAAATTTTATAAATATCTATAAAACTAGTTAACTTTATAAACAAATTTATTAGTGTAGTCTATATCTATTTTATAAGCTTATTTAGATTAAACTCTTATAATATTTATACAAACTCAGTTTCTACTATAGCTCTTTACTAGTTTAGTTCTCTATATTTTTAAATGTTTTATAAGACAAATTTTTTTGAATTTAGTTTGCTACTAAATCAAATTAGTAGTTTTGCTTTTTTAGCATAGTAGATATTTAATTTAATTAGTTAAAAAATAGAGGTGAGTTAATAGAAATCAAGCAAATTGTTTTTATTAAAATTTTTTTAATACTTTAAATAACAATAACTCAATAAAAACTTTATCAAATTTAATAAAAAATTTTTTAAATGAATTCTACAATTGGTAATATTTATTTTAAAAAATTTTTTATTAATTTAGATTATGTTTTTGTTAAGTTATTATTTGTTAAAGTTTCAAAAAAATTTACTTAAAAAAAATTTTCTTGATTTCTATTAACTCAACTCAAATATAAATAATATGCAATATATAGATTAATATTTATAAACAAATTATATAATATAAATTATTATTATTTTTTTTTATTTTTTTATTTTATACAAATGCTATCAGCTAAACTTTTCTTAGTTTTTATATTAGAAATATTATACTTATTGTAAGAGTATAACTAGCTATATATATAATTTTAGATTGTCTAATTTAAGTAGTCTGCTTAAAGGTTCTATACTAGCTACTATACCTAAAATCTATTAGAAGATTAATATAAATTATTATAAATTAGTTTTTCTAAATTATACTACTATTATTCAATACTATCCCTTAGATTGTAAGCTGAGGCAGGCAAATTTGCCTGTGTTTTGTATTCATTTAGCTCTGATTTACTTTTTTAAAATACAAAAATATTAAAAAACTAATTATAGATAAAAAAATTTGAAAATAAGGATTATCTTTTTGCAGTATTTGTTTTTATATTATAAGAAAAAAATTTAGGATTATATATGAGTTGAAAATAGCTAATTTTATAAAAAAATTTTTTGTAAAAATTTTATTAGTATTTCAAGATGAACTTGTTTAATTTAAGTTTTAAAAGTATAATTTATTAAACAATTTAATAAAACTTTTAAAGAATTACAACTTTAATTATTACAACTATTATGATTTACTTATAAAAATTTATATTTGTATTCAAGTAAAGTTTAAATATCTGCTATACTATCTAAATATATTTTAAATCTAGATTTAACTAATATAGAAGAAACTTGTATTTGATAAATTCCAAAATCATAATTATATAAATTATTTATATAGATATTAAAAAATTAATATATGATAGTAATCAAAGTAAATAGTAAGCTAAAATGTAGAATAAAGAAAAAACAAAAAAGTTAATACAAGAGATTATACAGAAATACAAAGAAGATAGCTATAGATAGTAGCAAATCTGTTCTAGATTTAGAAAAGCATCTAAATAGAATAGTAGCAAAGTTAATAGAAATAGATCTAGAGATTGTTCAAGTAGTGAGACAATAACATACAGTAATAAAAAGAGCTACAATAACAGAAGGTCTAGACAAAGTTAGTAATATATTAGAACAAAATAAATTAATAAAAATAGTACAGAATATAGAAGTACTTGAAGTTGAAGAAATAGTAATAAAAGAAGACATAGCATCACAAGAATCACAAAGTATATTTAATAGGGCTAACATAGAAATAATACTAGACTCTGAGTCTGAAATATTAACTGCAAACAATTTATATATAGAAACAACTAAAGCAATAAAAGATATAAGAGCAACAGAAGATATCAAGAGTTTAAGTATTAATAATAATAGAAATAAAAAAGTACTAGAGAATATTAAAGTCTTAGATAATGAAGGTTATAAATATATCACATTAGAAGAAAGTATTTAGACTTTCAAAAAAAATAGATATAAGCACAGAAGAGATATTATAACAAAAGTAGTAGCAATAAACATTTCTAAAGATACAACTGAATATAGAATTAAATCATTGAGATAGTTATTAAGAGAGAATATATATATAAAAGATATTACAGAGAAATTTACAAAAGATAATTAATAATGTATAATCATATTTAATTGTGAGAAAAGATTTGAAGAAGCCAAAGCAAGACTAGAAAATCCTAAAGAAGAACATAAAAAACTTAAACTCATTCTACAAAAAACACAAAAAATGAGTTAAAAAGAAAACTCAGAAAGTAAAGTCAATAAAGTAGTCAAAAGAGAAGAGAATAAAAGTAAAAGAGAAAAACATATTCAAAGAAAATTAGAAAAAGTATTTGAGCAGAGAAACGAAAAAACTCAGTAAGACATCTACAAAAGAGTTAGTACTAAATAAAAATACTTAAATATATCAGTACGAACAGACTTAGAGAAAAAGCTTAATAAAGATAATAATCTGATAGTAGTTTGAGATCTTCTAAGTTAGGTAAAAAGAACTCAGATTTTTGAGTTAGTATATTATTTAGAAAGAGTTGCATATATTGAAATACTAAAAGGACAACAGAACAAAACCAGAGTAGAAATCACTTTCATATCAGATATAGCAAATATAAAAGAAATTGAAAATTTATAGTGCATAT